ATTTGATGGAGGTAATTGCCCATTTTACATTGTCTTCAAAGTATAAACAAGCTTTTATCTCATTAAGAGTTAAAACCTCAATTAAGGTAGCAGCTCTAAAGTCAAATCCATAACTACGGGCAGGACTAAAATTAAAACAATATGTGCATGCCACATAAACGGTGGACATATTAGCATGTGCTCACCGTGGGTAAGTGGAGCATTATTTATTACTATTAATAGTTCTATTGATAATTTCTATAAGCAAGCTATTTTGAACATTTTTTTTTCTTTTTAATTATATGAATTAATGGACAGTGCCCACTTATTAAAATAACGTTTAAATTATTGTTCTTTTGTCCAGATAAAGTGGTGATCTTTGTTCACATCCATTGAACCACTCGACCTTATCAATAAAGTATATGCTTGTGATCAAACCAATTTACTATACACTAATCACAATTAAATTAATTTAATTGCAACTAATTATCTTATGAAAGAAAAATTCTTCACCATTACGTGTAATGTAATCTATATAGAGATATATTTATAAAGAAAAAAAAAGGAGATACAGTTCCCAGGTGGAGGCGACCGCAAATACTTAAGTGCGCCATGGCACACTTAGGGACGCTTTAAAATGAACATGTTATTACAAAATGAACATGTACAAATATAATTTACACATGTTCATTTTGTAACATAACATGTTCATTTTAAAGTACCATAGCACACCTTGTTAGGTGTGCCAGGGTGCACGATAGTAGCACTGGCGGCGATCGGGCGGAAAAAAAGGTTTTTATTTTTCTTGAACAAACTCATTCAGTATAATGAAAACAAAAATAATGAGGCAAAAAACAAAAAATAACAATAATAAGTGAGAAAAAAATCCCATACAAGTGAACCTTTGGAAGAGTCATACATAACAAAAATGAAACTTAAGGTTTAATATAAGCAAAATATTAGTTTTTGGACGAAAATCCATATACGAAAATTTTATGGAGTCATCGGATGGTTTTGTGATGCAGCCATCCACTACTTAATGTATTGACATATGTCCAAAATGTATTTATTGTAGGACGCGTGTCAATACACTATTTGTGGATAAGTGTGGATGACTCAAATTAGTCGAGTCATCTGATGACTCCATAGCAAATTTGTTCAAACGTTTGTATTAGACTAATAGATATATATATCAACACTATACTCTTATATATATATCCTTCGAATATCATGAGCCTAACTGGTAATTAGACACGCGTTTTAAGATTTTATGTGCAAAAAAATTTGATGTTTCGCCATGTGACTTAGATTCTTACTTTCAATCTAAAATTAATTAAAACTGAAATTATTCATAAATCTGTTTGATTGGTTAGAAAAAGTGTGTAGTTTATATATTTTTTAACATATTTTTATATGCTTAATTTTATCGCACTTATTGTTTTTCGACTTATTTATTTATTAGATGGATTTAAATGCTATGATATTTTTATGTCTTATTTGTAGGATATTGGAGTGTTTTCATAGACGACGTGGCAATAAACGAAATTTCAACCGACGAAGTATTGAGTATTCATACCAACCCAATTAAAATAGTTAAGCCAATTATGGGCTATTTCATTAAGAAAGTCCACTCACCATAATTTGGAGAACATCACGTGGCCGTCAGAAATTAAATCAAGTCAAGCAGGCCATGGATTAGGATTTAATTGGCTGACACTATTAACTTGATGGAAATTATTTCCCAAAAGGACTCCTCACGCATGAGTCATACATATTTGGAGGAGAATTATTTTGGAGCCGCCATATATTCACTCATAACAGAGAAGAAAAACCCTCACGCAGACGCAGAGAAAAGAAAAGAGAAGCAGAGCGGGAAAGAAGACCACAGACAGAGGAAAACGAGAGGAATCCGGCAATCGTGGAGGGAGACCGCACCCGTACACTAGGGAGATAATTAATCTCTCTCTTCTATTTATTTTTTTTTCTTTTTATTTGTTATGTTAGAGTAGTTTTTATTTCTAGTTCCGGGGATGTCGAACCCTACGTACTTGATGATGTTTGATTGATTTATATGGTTGATTATTGAGTTATCTTTTTAGAATTGTTTGTGTTATTTTGAATAATTAACCATGATGTGTTGAGTTGGATTTAGATTGATCACCTAGATTAGGCTTTACATATCTACACCTGAATTAGACCTTCAATCCGTAATTGTTGATGTGTTTAATTCGTAAGTGGTATCAGGAAGATGGTAACTACCAGGGATAACACGGCCTATTTAAGTGAACGAACGCGGTTGAGTTCACTACTTAGTCTAACCTATTTTTCTAATTCGTAAAGCGGCTAATTGAATTAAATTTAGGAAGCGTTTCCTAGACTGTTCAAGAGGTCAGATTTAATCGTAGAGCGTCTCGCGGTTAGATTAAAAATAAGGAAAAATTCGGGTAACAGACCGTGTCGTTGCCTAGGGCTAGTAATTCCATAAGATAGCGAGATTTGATTCCAAAGTTGATTAGGCGAGTCAGTCGAGGGTGTAGACAGAACCGTGAACTAGAAATTTCTCTTATTTATTTTATTTTATTTTTATTTTCATTATTTAGATTTTATTCTTATATAGATTAGTTATTAATCCAATCCCCCCATTTACTGCTTTCTTAATTTCAATTAATACAAGAATATCACAATTTGATTCACACCTTGGGTTCGATCCTTGCTCGCTACTACTACTAATTGGTAGAAGTAAGTTAAGGAAAAATATAAATATTAATTTTGCCGCGTTGCGACGCGCGGTCAATGTTGAATATTTATGACACCACTTTTTACGAACATGAATTGCATTTTAATATAATTTCTTATTACAAATTGGTTCAGAAAGCATGAAAAAACATATCCTTTAACTTCTTTCTTAAAATTATAAAATACTTTACTAACTTGAATTGTATATATATTTTCACACCAGGTTAAAACTAACTGATTAGAGCACTCCACTAATGAGAGACTACAAGACTCCAAAACAGAGACTACACATTTTCCAAATAGACTCAAAAAAACAACAAAAATAAACACAAAATAAAATAAATAATACATAAACTAAACACCTCTCCCTCTTCTAACGACCTCACAACCACACCCGCTTCCACAAGCTCTAACCAGCCGACATTCACCAGAACAGTGCAAGATCTCCAACAACTTTGAGCATCCCTCGCCTCTACAACATGAAGAGATTAAGGCCCTCAAACTTGAAAACTTCGATCCAAACTCGGACGTCTAATCAGATATGTCGGGGCATCTCCAATGGTGGGAGTGGATTGACAATTGAATAGACAGTCTTCTGTCCACGTGGACCGAATAGAATGACATGTTGATAAGTAACTCTTCAGTGGTAGATGTCTATATACTATAAAAGTTTATACACGAACAACAAACTGAACAAACTTTGAACCAGCCAAAAACTTGGCAGAACAAACTTTGACAAAATACTATAAATATATATTAATAAAATTATTATATATGAGTTTTTTCAATACAAGATCTGAAAGATGGGTAAACTATCAAATTGGGGCCTAAAAGATTTTTTTTTCTCAATTCGAGACTTAAATGTTATAAAACTATTAAATTAAGTCCAATATTAACAAACCCAAAACACCATTAAATTGA